GAAGAATGCAAATCAATCCATTTTTATCTTCTTGACAAAGCTTGAGTTTAAGTGGATCAAGAACCTCCACATAAAATGAGATACACTGAATGTGATAGAAAAAATAGTGGAGAAGAGCCTTGAACACAAGGGCATATGGGAAAACTTCCTGAACAGAACACCAATGGCTGATGCTCTAATATCAAAAATTGAGAAATAAGACCTCATGAAATTGCAAAGCTTCAGTAAGACAAAGGACACAGTCAATAAGACTAATTGGCAACCACCAGATTGGGAAAAGATCTTTACCAATCTTACATCTGATAAAGTGCTAATATACAATATATACAAAGACCACAAGAAGTTAAACTCCAGTGAACCAAATAGCTCCATTAAAACATGGAGTACAAAGCTAAACAAAGAATTCTCAATTTAGGAATACTGAATGGCTGAGAAGCACCTAAAGAAATGTTTAACACTCTCAGTCATCATGAAAATGCAAATCAAAATGACCCTGAGATTTCACCCTACACCAGTGAGAATCAATAAGATCAAAACCTCACATGACAGCAGATGTTGGCATTGATGTGGAGAAAGGGAAACACTCCTCAATTGTTGGTGGGATTGCAAGCTGATACAACCACTCTGGAAAACAGTCTGGCAGTTCCTCGGAAAATTGGACCTGAGGATCCAGATATACCATTCCTGGGCATATATACAAAGGATGCTTCAACATATAACAAGGACACATGCTCCACTCTGTTCATAGCAGCTTTATTTATTATAGATATAAAATGGAAACTACCCAGATGTTCTTCAACAGAGGGATGGATACAGAGAGTGTGGTACATTTACACAATGGAGAACTACTCTGCTATTAAAAATAATGACTTCATGAAGTTCTTAGGCAAATGGATAAATCTAGAAAATATCATCCTGAATGAGGTAACCCAGTCACAAAAGAACACACATGATACACACTCACTGATAACCCAAAAGTTCAGAATACCCAAGATACAATTCACATACCACATGATGCTCAAGAAGAAGGAAGACCAAAGCATGGGTGCTTTGGTCCTTTTTAGAAGGAGGAACAAAATCCTCACAGGAGCAAATACAGAGCAAAGTGAAGGAAAGGCCATCCAGAGAATTCTCCACCCAGGGATTCATCCCATATACATTCACCAAATGCAGGCACGATTATAGAAGCCTGTTGGCTTTCTACTGAAATAATGAATGAAATGTGGTAGATTTGGTAAATGGGAAAGTGAGGGGGCCCTTCAAAGAATTGTGGGAGGCAAAACCATAATCAGAATATGTTGAATAAAATAATAAATTTTCAATACAAAACAATAACATTAAATGCCAATAGCTTCAATTCTCTAACTAACAACCACAGTCTGGCATACCTGATCAAGAGACAAAGTTCATCTATCTTTGTTTACCAAGAGATATATCTTGTTTTTAAAGCTTGTACCTGCTTAGAATACAGGATGTACAAAATTATCCCAATCAAATGGGACCTTGAATGAATCAGGTATTGCTCGATTAGTATCTGACAGTATAGAGTTCAGACTAAAATTAATCAGACAAGATGAAGAGGGATATTGTATTCTAATGAAAAGCTAACCCAGAAGGCATTATGATTTTAAGCATATATTCACCAAAGTCTGAAGCATCTACTTTCATTAAATTGTGCTACTGTCTTTAAAGAGCCATGACCATAAATCCATCAATAGTAGGTGATTTCAGTAATCCACTTTTTCTAATAGAAAAGTCAACTGGACCAAAAATAGAGAAACATTATAATCATGTGACATACATCAAACATCCTTGACAGATATCTAGAGAATATACTACCCAAACATTAAAGAATACACATTCTATTCAGTAGTACATGGAAGCTTTTCTAAAATAAAACATATCCTCAAACATAAAACAAATCTTTAGAAATTCAAAAAGACCAAAATAATTTCTTGTATCCATGATGCAGTGAAAAAAATTGACAGCAAAATATCTCTAATAAATACAGATTCTCATGGAGATTAAACAGCTGAGTACTGAATGAGGAATGAGAGAAAGAAGATATTAAGATTTAAGTTAAAATCTTCTTAGAACTAAAGGAAATAAAAACATAGCACAAACAACACTTTCAACATGTTCAAAGCAGTTCTATGAGGGAATATACAGCTCTATAAATATACATCAGAAATCAAAAAGAACACAAATAATTAGCTTACTAATGCAACTCAGAAGTTGACAAAAGCAAATCGAAACCCAATCAGGGCAATAAATTATAAGAACCAGAGCAGACATCATCAACAAGAATAAAAAGGTAAAAATAAAGCAAGCAAACAAACAACACAAAGATCAGTGAATCAAAGAAATAGTTTTATAAAAAGTTGAACAAGATTGAAAGACTCATGTCCTAACTAACCAAAATACAACAGAGGGGACCAAAAAACAGAATCAGAAATGAACATTACAACATGCAGCTAAGTGATTAATAATATTATGAGGGAATATTTGTAAAATTTGTGCTACATTAATCTGAAAAAGTTTTAAAAATAGAAGACTTTCTAGATTATGCCAAACCACAAAATGTAAACCAAGAAGTTAACAATCTAAACAGAACCATAACAAATGAGGAGATTAAAATAATAATGAAAAGGCTTCAGATAAAAATGTCCAAGACCAGAATTATCACACCATAATTCGACCAAATTTTTAATCCTTCAAATTCTTCTTGAAACATTCCATCTTAAATCATTAAAAAAGAGAAAAGAAATAGAATGAGCACTCTCAAACTTCTACAAAGTCAGTGTCACTCTGCTACTAACACCAGGTGAAGATCTCGCAGGCCAAATCCCAGATGAACATAGACTAAGAAAATATTTAAGAAAACATGAGTAAACATAATGTAGAAACACATAAAGAAGACCATCAGCCATAACCTAGTGTATTTTATGTTTTAAATGTATGGATGTTTCAGCGTATATCTCAAGGCAGTAAATGAAATAACCAACATCAGTGGACTTAAAGACAAACAAAATCACCTGATTATCTCCATCAATGCAGAAAAGCCTTTGACAAAATCCATCATGGTAAAATCCAATCTTTCATGGTAAAGGTATTAAGAATATAGAACTAATGGGAATATACCATTACACAATAATACACAGACACATAAACACACACAACACCAATCTAAAAGTATATATAAACTAGTCAGGGATGTTCACCTCCTATTTCTTTTTAATACTGTGTTTGAAGTCCTGGCTAGAGTAATGAAGCAATACAAGGAAATTAAGAAAACACAAATAAGGAAATAAAAAGTTAAACTATCATTATTTCTAGATGACATGATGCTATATATTAGAGACACGAAAAACTCTACCAGAAAAGAAATGAAAATCAAATTCAGCAATGTGACAGAAAGCAAAATCAACTTGCACAATAAATTGTTTTTTGATACACCGAAACCAAATATACAGAAAAGGATAACATGGACAAATACACACTGACCATATTCTAAGGAAAATAAAGAATCTAGGAATAACCGGGCAGTGGTGGCACACGCCTTTAATCCCAGCACTTGGGAGGCAGAAACAGGTGGATTTCTGAGTTTGAGGCCAGCCTGGTCTACAGAGTGAGTTCCAGGACAGCCAGGGCTATACAGAGAAACCCTGTCTCTAAAAACCAAAAAAAAAAAAAAAAAGAAAAAAGAATCTAGGAATAAGCATAAGTAAGGAAATGAAGAATTTATGAGAGAGAGAGAGACAGAGACAGAGACAGAGAGACAGAGACAGAGGGGGAGCTAGGAAACAAAATGATATCTCATGTTCATGGACTTGTAGAAGTTGTATGGTGAAAATGAAAATGATCATTCTACCAAAACCTATTTATAGTCACAATGCAATCCCAGTCAAAATTACATTGACTTTTTCACAGAAAAAAGTATGTAAAATTTTAAATGCTTCCTTCTACAAAGAATCTTGAGGGGAAAATGATGTTGGAAGGATTACAATTCCTGATCTTAAGATACATTAGAGAGCCATAATAACAAAACAACATGGTACTGATACAAAACACACATGTAGACCAATGGAACAAAATCCCATCTCAAATATGAATACATGTAACTTCAACCACTTAACATTTGCCTGAGACACCAAAAAGAAAGAAAGAAGAAAGAAAGAAAAAAAAGAAAGGAAGAAAGGAAGGAAGGAAGGAAGGAAAGAAGGAAGGAAAGAAGGAAGAAAAAAGAAACCTACATGCTGGAGAAAAGAGAGCATCTTCAAGAAATAGATAAGAAGAATAAAATCAAAGTTGTATGTATCAACTTGCACAAAACCTAATTCCAAATGGATCAAAGACACAAGTTTGAAGCCTGAAACCCTGAGACTGTTAGAAGAAAACAGGCAGTACCTCCATGATGTAGTTGTAGGAAAAGATCCTGTTTGCCCAAGAATTAAAGGGAACAATTGAGAATTGGGACTTCATAAAACTAAACATCTTCTGCATAGCCATCAACAAGGTGAAGAAGCAGGTCAGAGAGTAAGAAAATCTTTGCCAACTATACATCTCTTAGAGGTTTAATACCCGTAGCATATGAAGATAATGATCCTTTACTATCCAGGAAAAGGATTTTCCAGGTGCTAATTTTCAGAACTCATGCCAATGACTTGCATTGTGATTTTAGGTATTATTATTGGATGTACTTCATGACAACACTAATTCATGACAGCCAGCTAGAAGAGGGCAGGAATAGTGGAGTAAGTAGGAGAGAATTGAGTCTCAGAAAGGAGTAGCTAGAATAAAAGAAACTAGAATACTCTTGTTCTTTTTGAAGCAAAGAAAGTAGTGAACAGAAATAATAAAAATAAATTAGAGACAGTTCTTAGGATATAAGAGCAGTATGGAGGATGTAGATAGCAGTGTTGCATGGAGACATAATATTTCTAGGCATTGTATATCTTTAAAATAAGACAGAAACTAAAGGCAGAAAATAATTATCTTACTGAATATAGAAATTCTCATTGCTTGGATCATCAGCCGGAGAATCTATGACAATAGTAAAAAGAGGTAAAAATGCAGCAATCACCATTTCTCCATCCTTGTATACACTGGTTTTTGTCTTTGTAGCACAGTAAGAGCGGTCAAAGGAGTAGACATAACTGGAGTACTGCAGAAGCAGAAACACAAAAGTCAGAAGGAGCATCATAGAAATATCTGCAAAGTTTAAGTCTGCTTAGAGGTTTAACTTTCAAAGATAGGAGGTGTATACATATCCGATGATTTTGTATCAATTCATGTAAATTCCAATTTTGTTGTTGACTATGATGGCTACTCTTATTCCCAAGGCTTCTTCAACTCAGTTTTTGAATATTCCCTGGAGGATTCTAAAAAACATTCTTTCCTGGAACTCCACCTGTGAGGTCCCACTTGCAGGCAAAAAACCCAATATGGAAAATATGTTTGAGGCTCATCATCTCCAGGCCCAGGGGCAATGATTTCATCCATTTCCATTGACAACAAGGCTCCTGAGCTGAACTCCTCTTGGGAAGACTTGACCAAGCTGAGGTCAAAATACTTACCTTCTGCTGTGGATGAAAATATTGTCAGAAGGGACAGGATGTATCTCAGTTGATAGCATGTTTTTCTATCATGCACAAAGTCCTGGATGTAATCACCAGAGTCACATAAACTGTGCATTGTTTTAAACGTCTGTAATCCCAACACTGGGGATCAAGATTCAGAAAATCAGGTCAAGATTATCTTTGTATACACAGAATGCTTGAGGTCTACCAGTACTAGAGACTGTCTCAAAAAAATGTTGTTATAATCCATTTGTATGACCACAGAATTTATTTTGCTTATTGAATGTAATTATCTTAGAGTATATGGGATATCTGTTCCCCATTCACACTTAAACGTATGAAAATGAACTATATCATAGTATTTCATTGTGTAAATGAACCACATTTTCTGTATCCATTCTTCAGTTGAGGGACATCTAGGTTGCTTCCAGTTTCTGGCTATTATAAATAAGTATGCTATGAATGTAGTGGAGGCCATGTCCTTGTTATATGGTGGAACATCTTTTGTGTATATGCGCAGGAGTATATCTGGGTCGTGGGGTAGAATTATTCCCAATTTTCTGAGAAACTGCCAAATTAATTTCCAGAGTGGTTGTACAAGTTCACACTTTCACTAGCAATGTAGGAGTGTTCTCCTTACTCTACATCCAGTCCAGCATGTACTGTTCCTTGAGTTTTTTTATCTTAGTTGTTCTGCCAAACTCAGTAAAAGACAAGCATGGCAGTACTACACAACAAACCCTAGTTTTACCAGAGAAAGAATGAAGGAAAAAGGAATAAGCTTATATGGAATTTTGATTCCAAGGAAATATCCAAGTGAGCACTAAATTGATGGTACCGTGTCAAGGACAAAGGTAGCAGCCAATGAGTTTCTTTCCACTCTAGACATGGACACCAGAAAAATAGCAGGTGGAAACATGTCAACCCAGTGTACAGAGAGGTAAGTTTGATGGCTGGAACATAACCAGGTGAGCATATAGAAGCTGAAAAGAGCCACAGGAGCTCAGAGTTGAGATTCTCCCTGGGCATCCTGGAGACAAATATCTAAGCAGAGTATACCTCTGTCAATGCCTTGATGAAGTACTGTGAGATATTTTATCTACTATTATTCATGCCCCTAAAACATGTACTATGCTTCTCAATCATACTTTGCTCTATTCTCATTTTCCCAAATCCCTTCTCATTTTACTACCTTATTATGGATATTATTAGCTCTAAAATTTAATGAAGGATGTTTTCTCTAATCAGAACCCTAGTGTTCCTATCTCCGAACAATGGTAGAGAATCAAGAAAAACACACAAGTGTTTATATTTATTATTGTAATTGACTCTCCCACACCATAAACAGCAGTTGATGGAAAGACATCACATGCTCAAAGATGGGTAGATTAAATATCATAAAATAACCATTCTATCAAAAACTAAATAGAGATTCAATGCAATCTCAATTATAATCCCCATATCATTCTTCACAGAAATAGGCCTAACCTAAATTTTATATGAAGATACAAAAAGTCCTGAATAGTAAAAATAACCCGAACAGGAAAAAAAGTGCTGAAGGAAAAACAATTCCAAAACTTAAGACACATTACAGAGCCAAAGTAACAAATCAATAAGGTATTGACACAAAGCAGACATGTACACCACTGAAACAAAATTGAAAATCCAAATTGAGTACGTGGAACTTCAGCTACTTAACATTCGACAACAATTGAAAAACTTAAGCTGGAGAAAATAAAGCACTTTCAACAAATGGTGCTGGGGAAACTGGCTGTCCTTGTTTAGAAGAAGAGACTTAGATCTGAGTCTATTATGCTGCACAGGAAATAACTCCTAATGGATCAAAGTCTTAAGCACAAAACCTGAAAGATTCGAACTGCTTGAAGAAAATTCAGGCAGCATCCTATATGACATGAGTGTAAGAAAGTACTTTTGGAGTATGACTTTATTTACCCCTAAATTAAGGTCAACAACTGACAACTGGCACCTCATAAAACTCAAACACTTGTGAGCAGCTAAAGAATCAATTAAATGATGAGGAAGCTCTCAGACTGGGAGAGAATCTTATTGACAGTATACAAAGAATAACAACAAAAAACTCCAAACACTCCAAAGAGACATACATGGGATGCATCAAATTTGGTTGGGACATGAATAGTGTTCCCCAGAGAAGGAAAAATAATGGGCTAACCTGGGGCTGAATAGATGGCTCAGTGGTTCAGAGTAGACCCAGGTTCAATTGCCAACATGCAGATGGCAGCTCACAACTGTCTATAACTTCAAGATTTGACATTCATACACAGAGATTTGTACAGAGAAAAACACCAATACAAATAAATAAATTTTACAAATGGCCAGGAAATATCTCAAAAAAGGTTTAACATCCCTAGCAATTAGCAAAATGGAAATTAAAACACTTTTGATATTTCATCTTATGCCAGTCAGAATCGAAATGATCCATGGAACAACTAACAATAAATGCTTTAGGGGTCCCTTTCAGTTTGGCTGGTACATGGACCTAGGGCATCAGCTCTGCACTCAATCTCCCAAAACCCAAAGGAGACTGAACTCCCAGGAGCGCTAACACACCCAGGAGTATAGGATGCTGAAGGATCATGGTTGCTGCCAGAGCAATGGGAGAGACATGCTGACAAAGAATGATACTGACCTGTGAGCTTGCTGAGTGCCCTAACAATGGTGACTGGGAAGCTGTATTAGACATATGTTCCCAACCCCGCTTTGCTTACCTTTACCCCTGGTGGGACAAGCTGCCTTGTCTCAAGTTTTTAGACCTTGTGGAATAGAGAATCAAAAAGAGAAGTTATAATGACTCTTGTATCGTTCTTAAATGTGACAAGTTATTTGGACTCAATCATGGGCTGGTCTAGAAGTCAATCCAATATTAAAAATGACAGTTTTCATTGGAAGTCTTGCTCTGGACATTTTTAGAAATGTATTTGCAAGTTAACTGCAGTTCTCTATAATGTTATGTTAGGAAGAGATAAAGTTGGAGTAGGCTCTGGATTTCAAACAAACATTAGTACATGGGTTAAGGCTCTTTTCATTGTCAAGTTAAAATTACTTTTGTTTCTTCTACAGTATTTAATGTAAGTTGCATTGATTGTACACTCTCTAATTGTGTTAGTGTGTTGGAATCTGGCACATCAGTTATGGAGGTCTATAAACCAGCTTTTCTTTTATTGCCCTGAATATCACAGAACCTTGGTATTCTGAAAAAAGCTTGCAAGTACTGGAAGAAATGAGTCAGGCTTTAAGTAGAAGCAAGAGGGTAGTGGGCTTGATTATTGCTGGTATAACAGCTTTAATTACATTAATTGCTAGCACATTGCTTCTGAAATTGCTTTGACACAAGAAGTTAAGACAGCTACTTTTGTTAATCGTTTAGCAAAAAAAATGTTATTAATGTGATGAATATACAAGAGAATTTATATAGGCATTTGGAACAATGGATTAATGTTCTTTATCGAATTCAAGTTATTAGAAGGAGGTTCAGAATTTAAGAGTAAGGAGCCATCTTGAGTGTCATGCCAAATATCATTGGATTCATGTTAGTTCTAAAATCTACAGTGGTAGTCATTATAATTAGGAAAAAATTTAAAGACACTTGCAGTGTATTTGCCATAATTCTAACACCTCTCTGGATGCTTTAACTTTGCATAGTGAGCTTATGAATTTAAAGAGTGCTGCTCTGCTGAGTGTTGATGCAGCAAATACTGCTGATAAAATTACCCATGGTCTGAGGTCAGTATTTCTATTTTGGTCAAGCTTCAAAAGTGGCATGTATAGCTTGATATGCCAGCCCTTTTCGTTCTGGGAATACTTTTATTCCTGCCCATCCTGTTAAAGCTTGTCTTTAACAACATCAACATGTTGGCAGCCAAAGTATATGGCTTGAACCTGAAAATGGACCCCCAGAAAGAGTTATTAAATTAACAGGCTGGCAAGTCAAAGATGGGTAAGATTCTGCACAATGCCTTACCAACTTAAAACAGAAGTGCATTGCTTTTGATAATGCACATTCCATGATGGGTAAGGAAGGCAGTCTTGGCAGAATGACCTACGACAGGCTCAGTCTTGTATATGAAATAAAAAACAGGAAGAGGCGGAGAGCTTTTGGGACTGCTTGACAAGAATCTGACATGAGCCAAGGACAAGGGAATGGGATGCTTGGCAGGAATATGGCATTGGTCATGGACAAGGAAGTGGGCTTCTGGCAGGAATCTGACATTAGGCTACAATAGAGAAGTAATTTCAGACAGGAATCTAAATCTTAGGCTAGAAGAAAGAAGTAATTTCAGGCAGGAATTTAAATCTCAAGCAAGAACAAGGAAGTAGGCTTCAGACATGAAAATGACTCTGGGCTAAGACAGGGAAGTTGGCTCAGATATTTTGGTCATCCTGATAAGCCCCTAGAAGCAGTGATCATGGGAGTGTTCACAGAATTTTGTTTATTGCTTTGCTTATTTTTTGATTATGTGTGTTTATTGTCTTGCTTGTTCCTTGACTATTTGCATCTATTGTATTGCTAGATCCTCAACCTAGAACTGAGCTTGATATTTGCATGTAATTAAAATGGTATAAAAGCAAAAAGGGAGGGATGGGA